GTGAATTTTTACATTACTAAATATATCGGTGATCATATCGGCTCCAACTCCCATTGTTATCGGTATCATATCGGTCGCAGCAAAATCCATATCGGTTGGCCCCTAATCACAAGTGTTTTCAGTCTGAGAGAAGAACTCAGTCTAAATGTGCAGACTTTGTGAGTTAAACATGTGTGAATGAAAAAAAAACACAAGTCCAGGTGTGTTTGTGATGAGAAAACGACATTAGAACAGATCAGAAAATAACCTAATATTTGTCCTTTCTGTGTTGGTGATATAGGCAGAGGGATTCTGTTTTACAACTCAGCGCTACTTCCTTTATTTTTGAACTTTTTCCCCCCAAAACTGCCACTTCACTGATGGTAAATATTTATAACATCCCAAAAACATGAAACGTGCCATAAGCTCTTTACATGTGTGTTCTGAAATGCAGCGATCAGAAAAGTGGAGATGGGTGATGTGCTTTTCCATGTTACTCAAATATGAATCCTCTGAATATAGAAGTTTGGATCACTGCCAGTTTATTAATAAAACATGTTTCTTGGGTGGAGACAGGGGGTAGGTGAAAACAGACATTTTCAAGCCTCGAGGACAGGAGAAACTGCAGGAGCGCGCAGGATTAAGTTGATTTGACATTATACGTCCCTTTGACTGTATTATGACATAACCATTACAGTTATCCCTGCATAGATACAACATGTGTTTATTTGTCCTGTGTTTGGTAGTTAGGAGCCTCCTCTCCATTAGCCTTTGTCTCTGTGTGTCCCTGTGTGTGTGTCCCTGTGTGTGTGTGTGTGTGTGCACGTGTGTGTGCGCGAGCGTGTGTATGCAGCTGAAGCAGCACGACAGGTGTGATTTAAGGAAAGACCGGACCGGAGGGGAGAGGAGGAGATGGTCCGCAGACAGAGCACGAGGAATGCCCTGATCTCCCTGTGCGCCTCGCTCTCCTGCTCATACCCTAAAAGGACAGAGTGCTTTGATAAACACGGTGCAGTACAGTAAACCCTGTGAGACAAGAGCCAGGGCGGCGCTGCTTTTATACAGACCTGTACTGTAAGTGATGTGATCTGGACACAGGGTGGACCACGTGTGACCAGATGTGAGCTCATTGTTGAAGTACAAACCCTGGGCTGTTACACTTACACTGTCTATAGACTCTGTATTATACACAGACATAAAGTCACTTTAAGTGCTTGGTGATAACAGCTCATATAAAACCGGACCTAAACCAGGACCAATATAAAGCACATATGGAAAATCCAGATTTAAAGGAACTGTATACATAACAGTATACATAACAGCCTGTGCTCTTAAAAAGTACTACAAAGGCCACGTTTACATGATGTTTTTAAAATTTCGAATGAATTGTTTGTAATTAAATAGTTCGGAATTAAAATATTTTCCTTCAAGTTTACATGGAAATAATAATTCCGAATTGAGGTTTACATGGAAAACACGTTAAATCACCTTTATTTAATTCCGCTCAGCGTCTGGGGGTGGGGAAGGTTCTGATTGGACAGAAACACCAATGTATTTACGTCGACTGGAAGAAAACACATAAAGCTCTCAATTTACCGCTCAATCTTTGTTCCTCCCCTCACCTATGGTCATGAGCTCTGGGTAATGACCACAAGGACGAGATCGCGGATACAAGCGGCCATAATGAGTTTCCTCCGCAGGGTGTCTGGGTGCTTCCTTAGAGATAGGGTGAGGAGTTCAGTCACACAGGAGGAGCTCGGAGTAGAGCCGCTGCTCCTCCACGTCGTGAGGAGCCAGCTGAAGTGGCTCGGGCATCTGTTCCGGATGCGTCCTGGATCAGGAGGTGTTCTGGGCACATTCTGGTAGGAGGCCCCGGGGAAGACCCAGGACACAGCGGAGGGACTATGTCTCTGGGATGGCCTGGGAGCAGCTCGGGGTTCCCCCGGAGGAGTTGGAGGAAGTGTCTGGGGTGATAGAAGTCTGGGATTCCCTGCTTAGACTCCTTCCCCACGTGACCCAGCCCACGATAAGCAGAAGAAAATAGATGAATGGACCTGGGTTGTGCAGACTCTAGGGCTGTCAAAATAAACTGAAAATCAGATACTAATCCATAGGAGTGTGCAAAAATAAAGAAATATTGATATATTGTTTAATTTGATGATACAGTATCGATATCATGGGCGGCTGAATCGATATATCGCCAACAGTAAATGATTTTGTGGAAGCTACTTCTGTCACTTGTTTAGATGAAGCAAAGTACATTTGACATATTCAGTTTTGATGAAACGTTTGTGTTTCATATTCACGTTGCACAGGCAGTGGTCCGAGCACTCCAACCCTCCAACCCTTTGTACAAATAAACACACCTCATATAAACTATGGACGCCTCAGCACTGACCAACACAACAGTGTGATGTGCTCTCCTCATGAGTCACACACAAGAAACACACGTGCTGTGTTGTGTTCATTCATCTGCAGCACACGGAACACACACCATTCATGATTTTGAGTGAAAATGGACTTGATAAGTAAGAGTTTTTTTTAATTTTTTTTTACTGAACTACAATGAAGTGATTTAAAATATATTGCATGATTATCTTGTTTGGATATTAGCTTTAGTATTGATGTGAGTTCTCTTTATCCTTTTGTGTTTTTGTAATTAAGAATAAATCAGCAATACAATAGTTTTCAGGAAAAGCTCCATTAGATTTGCACATGTGGTATAATTCCCCCGTCCCGGCAACTCAGGCTGAATCGGAGATGCTTACGGAAACGTGCCCTTTTCTATTCCAGTTGTTTTCATTTTCGGAATTCCTTGACACATTGTTGTCCATGACTTGAGCGTAATAGTCCAACGAGGTTCAACTGGTCTTTTGATCATTTGTATTAGGTTCTTTTTTTGTTGACCACTCTGAGGAAGACCATTAGTGAGCAGTCAAAGCAGTCAGCTATGAAAACAAACACTAAGAACCTAATAATATAGATTTGAAAATATCTATGGACACAAATAGGACAAGCTTACATATAGTCACTTTAAACCATACGGACTAATATCATGAATTACTTTGCAGTATCTTGTGCAGTGTTGTAGAGCGGAGCGTACAACAGCCTCACGTCACTGGCCCAGGCTCACTCTGATTTACTAGAACACAATAATGTTTAGATTTACTATGTGCTATGAAAGATTAGACGTTTCTCAGCGTGATGCAGTATCCAGTAAATCATTCACTCTCCACACTGAGAATTCGCACCCACAACCCCTCAGACCTCCACCAATCAATCACACACACAGGCGAGGTGAGGGAAGTGTCCTGCTCAAGAACACGGTGGAATTAATGCACACTTTCCATTCATAAGAGAGCCACTCCCACTAGACTAAGATAACATTACCAAACTTGTTTTCGATAGTAAGGAATAGACTCGATACTCAATACTGATACTGGTCCATGTGTGTATACTAGTCAGTGTTGTGCAAGTTCACACTTTTCATGAACTAGTTCAAAGTTCAGTTCACACATGTTCAAAGTGAACAGTTCATGTTCATAGTTCACAGTTTTAATTTTGAACTAGTTCAAAGTTCAGTTCATTTTATTTTTAGGTGACATATGTAAATGAAAGGCTGCACTTATTTTTCAAACTGACTTCCAGTTTACAACAACTTCACAAAATATTAACCATAACCAGTCTAGAACCACATCAGCCCATTTGACATTATAATGTGTTTAATGCAACTTTGCCACATTTGTTTACGTTTTACTGAAACAAAACTTAAAACCACATGGCTCATTTGCATAAATTGTAAAAGCTGGAAAAAAGCAGCTTTTTCCCTGTGCGCTGATGCATCAACTTCTGTCGGACTAAAGGACATGACTATATGTGTTCTTTCTGTGACAGAGGGATGTCACTGCAACTTTTGGACGAGTAATTTGAAGAATGCATGGACAGTGAATGAGGGCGGCTCCTCTGCTCGTGCTAGATGCACTTGGAGCAGCGTGTCCAACAAATTCACGTTCAAGTTCTTGATTTACAAATGTGTTGCGTTCAGTTTAAAGTTCACTGAAAAATTAACGTGTTCAATGAACGCACAACACTGATACTAGTCTATGTCCTCTTGTATCTGTTCTAATACAGCTCAAGATCATTCTAAAGACATTCAGGAAAGGCTCTGCTCTGTCCTGTCAATGAGACTTTTTAGTATCGATACCTGTGAAAATGAGGAAAATGAGAAAAATAACAAATGTCAAAAGTTGTTTCTTCTGCACTAACTCCTCATGTTCAATATTGTTTGAAGAATATGGAGGTAGGAAACTTGACATGATAAAATAAATACAAATAAAATATAAATACTCTGAGGGTCGAGACCAAGACAAGACCAAGAACTCTGAGGGTCGAGACCAAGACAAGACCAAGAACTCTGAGGGTCGAGACCAAGACAAGACCAAGAACTCTGACGGTCGAGATCAAGACAAGACCAAGAACTCTGAGGGTCGAGACCAAGACAAGACCAAGAACTCTGAGGGTCGAGACCAAGACAAGACCAAGAACTCTGAGGGTCGAGACCAAGACAAGACCAAGAACTCTGAGGGTCGAGATCAAGACAAGACCAAAAACTCTCAGGGTCAAAACCGAGACAAGACCAAGAACTCTGAGGATCTAGACTGAGACAAGACCTTTAAAGGTCGAGTCCGAGACAAGACCAAGACCACGGCCCATTGAGACCACATCAAGAAAATCTTTGTAATTTTCGACATTTATTTTATTTGTATTTTACAGTCATTTTGGCACATGTATATTAAACGAGCGCACAGGCTGCAGTGAGACGCCCCATTGCCGACAGCTGTGGCTATAATGAAATATAATCAAATTCATTGAGTGTCAGACCTTGAGTGTGTGACAAGACCGAGTCCGTGACAGGAACCAAGACCGTAAAAAATTGGTCTGGAAACCCAAGACCGTACTATGGCATTGTGTACTGGAGCATATCTCTGTCAGCTGTAGTTCAGCCCAGTGGCAGGTCTTACCTTGATGGAGGGCGCAGAGGAGAAGGTGGAGGAGGAGATCTTAAATGGAGTGGCTCTGAGGCCCAGGGTCAGCTCTGAAACACAGAACATACAAATATATTTAGACACATTTAGAACAGTTTTAGACCTGCTGTAGTCCAAGTTTACCTGAATTTCACACCTGGTTTTGTCCTGGTTTATCCATATTTTAGTTTCTTATAAGGTTCTTCATTACACAACATATGGAGTTTTTAACAATAAATGTGACACTTAAGCTTCAACACTTCTAGATCCATGAGATGTTCCTCTGAGTGTTTAAAATCCACACACAACTCTGATCTTTCCAGCGCTCACGTTTCCTCGATGCATCAACCAACATTTTGGATACGGCTTCTATTTTTAGATGATAGAGATGACTTCAGTGTCCTGTGTGCTCTGTGCTGCTTTGTAAACTCAAACATAAGGCCTCAGATAAACCACCAGTGACGAGACATTAGAACTGTTCAAAACATGTGGACTTCCTCTGCCTCTGGACCCGTGTGTGAGGCACGTCATCTCTCACTTCCAGAATGTTCCACAGACGGACATAAACAGCAGCTAATGCACCTGATGTCAGCCCCTCCATGTAAACACGGCTCTGGGCTCGCTCCTCTGCTCCATAACAAACCAGCACAGTGGCTGAGTGGTTAGCACTCATACCTCACAGCAAGACGGTTCCAGATTCGATCCCTACGTCGCCCAAACCTTTCTGTGTGGAGTTTGCATGTTTCTCCTCGTGTCTGGGTGTTCAGGTTTCCCCCATCAAACCAAAACATGCTACACGGGTCTCCAGGAAACACAGCTGATAGTTAAGGTCAATTAAATATAATTAATCAGTGAACCTGCCCAGGGACGACAGGTGGAAATTAGCACTGGTGCTACAACCTGGTACAAATATCTCTCTTGTTAAGGTTCATGAGGATTGTGCACTGTCCCGATCTCATTAAATGGATAAATAAATAAATAAATCAACAAAATGACCTATGGTCATGAGCTCTGGGTAATGACCGAAAAGATGAGATCGCAGATACAAGCGCTCCAAATGAGTTTCCTCCACAGGGTGTCACAGGAGGAGCTCGGAGTAGAGCCGCTGCTCCTCCACGTCAAGAGGGGCCAGTTGAGGTGGCTCTGGGCATGTCTCATTGGGAGGAGGCCCCGGGGAAGACCCAGGACACACTGGAGGGACTATGTCTCTCGGCTGACCTGGGAACACCTCGGGGTCCCCCCAGAGGAGCTGGAGGACGTGTCTGGGGTGAAGGAAGTCTGGGAGTCCCTGCTTAGACTGCTGCCCCCGCGACCTGGCCCCGGATAAGCGGACGAGGATGGATGGATAAATAAATAAAAAGCACAGATATGAATAATAGATCTCGCGTTGATGACCGACGTCTATTAGAACAAATGTGTCAACAAAGCCGCCATCTTGGTACCACATGGTGGCCATACGAGATTGTCAAACCTGATCCAGTCAGATCAAGCTCAGCAGAACCGGGTGTGGTTAGTGCTTGGATGGGAGACCACTGGGATAATCAGGTGCCACAGGGGGCATCTGTTGTTGTGTTCTTAGGCAAGACACTTCACTCATATTTGCCTCGTATGAAAGTGTGTGTGTGGGAGTGTTGTGTGAGGGAATGATGGTGCTGATTGGCAGCTGTGCTTCTGTCAGTCGGGTGTGGAGTGACTGAATAATGCTCTGTAAAACGTCTATATAAATAAAAAATGTACTTACTTGGTACAGGGATAACGCTGCTTTAAATGAATGAACACCAATCTGGGACGAGCTGATATCAGTGTCCGTGACCGCGAGATCTACCGTTTATATCGATGACAAATCAGCACTACAAACCAACACTAATGCCACTGTGAACACAACAGAAGGGCCCCAACATGACCGACACAGCCCACCAAAAAAGGACTGCACTGTGCAAATGGACCGAGGCAGGAGATGATGGAGCTCACAGGAATTAAGTAAACTGTTTAGGTAGGACTGGACAGTATAGAATGTATAGAATATCTTTTTTTTTTTTGCATTACTGACATAAAAATTCAGACAGTATTTTAACAACAAATCAAGAATGTGCTAGAATATACCTGTAAATGTCTCATGGACCACTATCTACCAGGACGATTGAGGGATTACAAGCATATAATGCCACATGGTAATATACAAGAAAGTACCGCCATTTAATATTGTCAATAGTGCTGTCAAGAGATTTAAAAAAATTGAGAGATTAATTAATTAAGATCTGTAATTAGTTAATCTAATTAATCTCTTTTTTAATCTCACCTAAAAATCGCTGAGAAAAGCTTCATCTTGAGGTATTTTCATTTAAATTCATTATTACATTATTGTGGCAAATCAAAAGACTGGAATAGAACAAAAACTTTTATCATCATCATTATTACTATGACTAATCTGCATAAATAAACTCAACTTTACAACATATAAACCATCACCACTGTAGATCCACATCAGCCCATTTGACATTATAATGTGTTTAATGCAGCTTTGTGCAAGTCTCACAGAAACAAAACTTAAAACCACATGACTCATTTGCATAAAATAAGCGGAGACAAAAAAACCCAAACCCTCTTGTGCGCTGATGCGGTTCAGCTTCTGTCGGACTACAGGACACGACTCAGTGGAATATAGATGTTATTTCTGTGACAGAGGGATGTTGATGCTGAGGGTGAGTCTGTTCTGTGTGTCACGATGTTTTCAGATCGTATATGTGCAGGTTTATCGCAGATAACGGAACGGGAATGAAAATTTTATACAATTATTTCCAAGAGCGATGTGTTCCATGCACAATACACAGTCAGATAATGGAAAATGTTTTTGTATATTTCAAAATACATGGACAAATATAAAGTTTCCTGGGGTTATAAGTTGATGGATGAAAACTAGAGGAAGGAACACCACCCAAACATGGTAAGAACATGCAAACTCCACAAGGCCAGACACTCGGGAATCAAACCCCCCACTCCACCATCATGCAGCATACATAATACCCACCATCTGACTCTTCTACACAACATGTTTTGACAGTTATGTGTGTATAATATTGCTGCACTGTGCCGTAAACTGGTTACCATGGTAATCTGCTCATAATACTACAAACAGTGAGTGAGTAGTGTCCTCTGTCCCCTACACTGTCCCTGCTGTCCTCAGAGGTCCTTTTGTCCACACTGGCCTCATACTGACCCCCGCCCACACACTCACAACACGCTTCACAGACGTCCCACTCCACGCGCCTCACTCCTCCCTCTCTCCTCCTTTTCTCTCCACAGTATTCCCTTCATACAAACACAAACACAAAGAAGGAAAAACAAAAAACTAAAAAAACACCTCATCACAATGGTCTGCAGCAATGGGGAGGAGGTAGAGATTTGAAGTTCCTGAGTGTGCAGATCAATGAGGACCTGAACACCTGCAGCAGAGACAGTTTTTTCTGACAACACTCGGCCGAAATGGGCTCTCCCAGAATCTGCTGATCAACTTCTACCGGTGCACCATTGAAAGTGCTCTGACGTACTGCTGCGCATCACAGTACGGAGCACAGCTGCTGAAGAGAAGGACCTGCAGCGAGGGGTGAGAACAGCTGAGAGGGCGGCGGGCTCCTCGTTCCAGAACCTGGACACAATCTCTTCCACACACGGGCCTCTAACATCCTATAGAACCCCACACAACCTTGGATCTACCTCTTCCGTACTCTCCCCTCGGGAAGACCTCAAACTCCCCTCACACGCACAAACAGTCTGAGCTACAGCTTCTATTCATGAGCTTCAGGAGCACAGGCACAGAGAAAAGCCCTGAAGGGAAAACCATCTATTATATTTAAGGTTTTATTGGTGTGGATGTGAGAATGTGTCTACCGTATTTTCTGCTCTGGATTATAAGACGCACTGTCATTAAATGGTTTATTTTCAAACTTTTTTCACAAATAAACTGCATCGGACTTTAAAGGAAACAACAGTGTGATGGGTGAGTGGTTTTGTTTGTTTGTTCGTTCACGGTGACTCTGGGCTTTGTTCAGTTGTGGCGTGTAGGGAGGGTGCTGTCTGGGACCAACAGATTGTCGGCGTGTTCGCAGTGACTCAGTTGTTCAGTCGTGTCTAGAAGCGGCACATTGCACTCGCTTTTTCGGTTCGTTCCTCATCGGCGTGGAGTGAGGAGTCTCCTCCTTCTCCACAGCTCCCTCAGTAGAATCATCTCCTCCCGCCTCTTTACTCTAGAAATCACGCTTGTTTACAGCCGGTGCATGTTCAGAATTACTGTTGAAGTGACCTGTCTAGAAATAATTCAGCGACCGACTTGTCAGTTTTTAGACCCTTCGTCTGCTTCAATCGCACCATCGCTGGAACAAATCCCCAAGAATCACCTCAGTTTGTTTTCGCTCCTTTTCCCCTTCTCTTCTTCTTTCAGCGACCTCAAAAACTGACTTCCTTTTGTGGCGAACTGGTCGTGGATTCTCGTCCGCCATCGCAACAAACTTTTCGAAATGTGAGGAAGCTACAGTTTAAAAAAACCTCTAAGAACCGCTGCATAAACCATGTAATCCCCGCACACCGATGAGTCAGTTACACTAGAAACGTGGGGAGTTTGATTGACCTAACCTAACCTAACCTAACAGCCAATAGAAAATGAGGCAGCCTTGGCTGCTATTGGCTGATGTTTATCTAGCCTCACTACATCCACAGTTGATGAATTTTCATTCTTTTTTTTTTGGTCATCATAATTACAAGGCTGCTGCATCTCTGTAATGGTATTTTAAAATTTCATTGAAAATATGAAACAGAAAAAAAATCCTCCGTACAACTTTGAAGTGGTGCTGGGACGCCCAAGTGGATTCGTGTATAGGGCGCTCTGGATTGTGGTGCGCAGTCGTTTTTTGATGGGGTTGGAGGCTTAAGAGCGCATCTAATAGCCCGGAAAATACAGTATATTTATAAATTTTTACTGCTGCAGATTTGCTCTGTGGAGGTGTTGTTTTTTTTTTTTTACAATGAAATAAACCTAAATCTAAATACAGTGTGAGTGGAGAGGTCCTGCTCGACTCACACATCCACAGATCCTTTCAGATCAGAGTCTGACTTTAGCTGCTGCACTCCAAATCAGAACTGAGCACGGGCACGCTTCTGGCTCCACTGACTCTAGCTCCAGTTCTTTTTGTATTGAAAAATGCTACTGTAACTGCTTATGTCAGGCTCCTCAATTTGGTCTTAAAATGTTTATATTAAGATGATCTATGTGAAGAATATCTCAGTCGTCCAGGTAGAATCCAAGGCGAGGAGAAAATTCAGTTTGTCGACTGGACAAACTGAATTGTCTAACTCCAGTCGACAATCAGAATTTTCTACTCCCCATTAAGCTGATCTACTTGATCCTGGGTTTTTTATTTCGCTCTTTTGTCCACTAATCAAAATCTGAATATTAATATCAGATCAAATCAGGCACCTTCTTTTTCATAAGAACTTGTAAAACTCATTTTCACATCACAAACTACTTCAAGTACACAGACAACTGATACTCTGCAGCTTCCTGGAGGTGATGCTAACCTGAAGCACTGCTCTGTCTGAAGCTCTGTTACTCAACTTAAACTTTAATCTGAGTTTTGTTTAAACACACCAGACCAGAAAGATCTAAGTTAATTTTGTGCTGTTAAACAGTCCCTTTCAAATAAACATTAGTAAACAACTGTTGTTTGAATCCATTTTGGAGACAATCTGGAGCATGAACACAAACTATTTTAGAGTTTTGAACTCAATGAAGGACTCAAATGATTTCTTTATCACACACTATAAACTTCAGCTTCATATTATTTTGAAGTCAAAACTGTATCTTGAATTAGTTTTAAACTACTTTATATTGCTCCTTTTATATTAATCATAAATCACATCAAGCACCTTTTTTCCCTGAAGTCGCTCTTACTGCTGTTACAGGCAACAGGTTGGCTCCATATAACTGCTGCCATAAGTGAGCTTCATTTGACTGCAGCCGAGCAGCTGACGTCACACTCCCTTAGTCCACTTCTGTTTACAGTCTGTATACAGAAGTGGACTTTGGCCTAGTATTTGTTCATCTTGTTCTGAGAGAAACTCTAGTGGAAAAACTGTCCTGGGCGATTTATGATCGTCTTTGTTTTGTTTTCGACTTGTCAGAAGTGAGTTATGTTCATCCCGGGCATGTGGGGGAAGTGTCTGGCCTAAGGACACAATAACATGGTATTCCCAGTGCTCTCCCATCCGAGCACTAACCAGGCCCAGCCCTGCACTGCCACTGACGAGCAGCTACGGCTAATCTCTATAATAATTACAAGCCACTCAGGATTTGACACAAGACAAAAGCTTTTGTTCACGTCAGCGCAGCAGGATTTCATTTACACATCTGTTAATACAGCCACCCTGCTCCCCTTTTCCAGACGCCCCAAAGACGGGACATTCTGCACATGACACGCCTAAAGATATAAATAATGTCACTGTAAGATTTTTCTTACATTTCTGGAGGTAAACAACAGAAGAGGTTTCAGACTGATACCTTTAAATTTAAAGCCACACTAAGTAACTTTTAGACAAAATAAAAATAAATGCATGTTTTTTCTTCAGTTTGATTGTGTTTATTGCACTGAAGAACATGTCCTTACTGTGAGTGGGCTCGCATCTCCACAAACCTGACTCAGATCTGACCTGGAGGAGACCGACTCCTGCTTGTTTCCATGGAGATGTTGTTTGTCTTTAATCTCCCTCAGTACGGCATGAAGCAAATCAATCTATATGGAGAATGTCCCAAAGTATTAGTTTAACCTTCTGTTTCCATGGAAACACATAGGAAAACCAGCTCTAGAAAGTGACATACTGTAGCTTTAAGATTTTCCTCAATTCACCTGCAGAGTCTCCCCCAGAAAACTGACGCCACTGAACCAAGACTGAACCAAAACTGAACCAAGACTGAACCAAGACTGAACCAAGACTGAACCAAGACTGAACCAAGACTGAACCAAGACTAACCAAGACCAGGACTACAACCAGGACTACACCAGGACTACACCAGGATAAACAAACCAAACCAGGACCAAACCAGGTCTGCAGTCCCATCTCCTCAGCTCTTCCACATACCTGTCCTCTGTCCCAGAGCGCTGGTGTTGATGCGGGGGGTCACGCTGCCGAGGGCCCCCATGCTGGAGAGGGGCCCCGGGTTGTTCCTGGGCCCCTGGGAGCCTCCCGCGCGCCCGTCCTTGATCTCGATGGTGAGGAACGTCTTCATGTCTGCGTCTGCTCTGCTCCCTGGGGCCTGCTCCTCCTCGGCCCCGTGCTTTTCTCCCGCCGGCCCGGCCCCGCCTCCCGAGCTCTCCGATTGGCCGAGGGAGGACACGGGCTCCGCAGGCGGGTTCGCTTCTCTCCGGGGCGTCCTGTCTGTGGGAGGGTTGATCCTGGGGGCCGGGCTGCTCCTGTAGGGGGCGCTCTGGGCGCTCTGGGTGCTCTGGGTGCTCTCTGTGTATTTGCGCAGCCGGTCCCGGACTGAGTTGGTGCGGCTGAAGTGTTCCAGGACTGAGCACACAACAAGATGTCACACTTCAGCAGGTTTATGAGAACTTGTAAAACTCATTTTCACCTCACAAACTACTTCAACTACACGGACAATGATACTTCACAGCTGAGGTCATCAACGTTCCCTGGAGGTGATGCTAACCTGAAGCACTGCTCTGTCTGAAGCTCTGTTACTCAACTTAAACTTTAATCTGAGTTTTGTTTAAACACAATCTGGAGATAATCTGGAGCATGAACACAAACTAGATTAGAGTTTTGATCTCAAAGAAGGACTCAAATGATTTCTTTATCACACTATAAACTTCAGCTTCATATGATTTTGAAGTAAAAATAACATTCTTGATGTTGCTCCTCGTCGTGTGTGAGTCTTACCTGCGTCTTTGGGTTTCCCGTTGCTCAGGGAGCTGCTGATGATCTGAAAACAAAAGTATTTATGAGATTATGAACAATCCCATAAACCAGGACTAAACCAGAACTAAACCAGGTCTAAACCAAGTCTAAACCAGGTCTAAACCAGAACTAAACCAGTCTAAACCAAGTCTAAACCAGGTCTAAACCAGAACTAAACCAGGTCTAAACCAGAACCAGAACTAAACCAGGTCTGAACCAGGAACTCTAAACCAGAACCAGTCTGAACCAGGTCTGAACCAGAACTAAACCAGAACTAAACCAGTCTAAACCAGAACTAAACCAGGTCTAAACCAGGTCTGAACCAGGTCTGAACCAGAACTAAACCAGGTCTAAAACCAGGTCTGAACCAGGTCTGAACCAGAACTAAACCAGGTCTAAACCAGGTCTGAACAGAATTAAACCAGGTCTGAACCAGGTCTGAACCAGAACTAAACCAGGTCTGAACCAGGTCTGGACCAGGTCTGAACCAGAACTAAACCAGGTCTAAACAAGGTCTGAACCTGAAATAAATCAGGTCTGCACCAGGTCTGGATCAGGACTAAATAAGGTCTGAATATGGACTAGTTTGAACAAACATAAACCAGGTCTAAAGCCAGACGTGCCAAAAACCAAACTACTTCTTCACCTGGTCTGAACCAGGACTAAAACTGGTCTGGACCAACACAAACCAAGTCTAACGCAAGACCAGAATTAGACCATGAATAAACCAGCAGGACAAAACCAGGTCTGAACCAGGACTAGAACTGGTCTAAACCAGGTCTGAACCAGGATCAGAACCTGGTCTAACCCAAGTTTGACTCTGGAAAAATAAATAAAGTCTAAACAAGGACTAAACAAGCTCAGAACCAGAACTAAACCTGGACTAGACCAGAGTGAGGACAAGAACTAGACCAAAGCAAGTCTGAACAGAAAACAAATCTGAACTAAACCAGGTCTGGACCAGGACTAAATGAGGACTTCAGCAAGGATTTGAAACAACCTAATCGAAGTCTAATCAGGACTAATGAGGTTTATATTAGAACTGAACCAGGTCTAAACCAAGACTACATCAGATCTGAACCAGGATTACACAAGATCTAAAACAGGTTTAAACCAGGTCTAAACCAGAACTAAACCAGGACTACAACAGGTCTAAACCTGATCTAAACCAAGACTACACCGGATCTAAACCAGGACTACATCAGATCTGATCTAGATTACACAAGATCTAAAACAGGTTTAAATCAGATCTAAACCAGCACTAAACCAGAACTAAACCAGGTCTAAACCAGGACTAAACCAGGACTGCACCAGATCTAAACCAGGATTAAACCAGGACTGCACAAGATCTAAACCAGGTCTAAAGCAGGACTAAACCAGGACTAAACACACAGATCTAAACCAGGACTAAACCAGGACTAAACCAGGACTGCACCAGATCTAAACCAGGTCTAAAGCAGGACTAAACCAGGACTACTTCAAATCTAAACCAGGATTACGCAAGAGTTAAACGAGGTCTAAACCACACCTAAACCAGGACTACAACAGGTCTAAATCAGATCTAACCCAGGTCTAAACCAGGTCAAAACAAGGTCTAAACCAGGACTGCACCAGGACTGCACTAATCTAAAAGTGGTCTAAAGCAGGTTTAAACCAGGACTACAACAGGTCTAAACCAGGACTAAACCAGGACTAAACCAGGACTGCACTAGATCTAAACCAGGTCTGAATCAGGTCTAAACCAGGACTAAAACAGGTCTATACCAGATCTAAACCAGGTCTACACAGGGAGTAAACCAGGACTGCACCAGGTCTAAACCAAGACTACAACAGATCTAAACCAGGACTAAACAGGACTAAACCAGGACTAAACCAGGTCTAAACCAGGACTAAACTGGGGTTAACCAGATCTAAACCGGGACTAAACCGGGACTAAACCGGGACTAAACTGGGACTACTTCAGATCTAAACCAGATCTAAACCAGGTCTAAACCAGGACTAAACCAGGACTAAAGCAGGTCTAGAGCAGGTCTAGAGCAGGTCTCTGGTGCTGGTGTTGGGGGCTGTCCTCGTCCTCGTCCTCAGTAATGAGCGTGTGTTTCCTCTGATCGTTGACAGTGGACATGTTTTCATTATGTAACTGGAGTGTTTGGAGTGAGGGGGGGGCGGGGGACGGGGGACGGTCTTTTTTTAGGGCCCGGGGACACGAGGGGCCCCTGCTGTTTACACTACGCTCAAAGGACTGGACCACGGGGACAACAAAACAAGTCCAGACCAGACTGTCCAAAGACATTAGAGACAAGACAGAGAGACAACACGGTCCCACGGAGAGGACAGGGACACACACGGACAGAGACACAAGACACAAGACACAAGAGACAGAGAGACAACACAGTCCCACAGAGAGGACACGGACACACACACGGACAGAGACACAAGACACAAGACACAAGAACAGAGAGAGACAAGAGACAAGAGACAAGAGACAAGAGACAAGAGACAAGAGACAGAGACAGAGAACAGGAGACAGAGGACAGGGGAACAGGAGACAGGAGACAGAGAGACTGGAGACAAGAGGCTAGAGACAATAGACAGAGGACAGGGGACAGGAGATAAGAGACAAGAGGCAAGAGACAGGACAGGGGACAGGAGACAAGAGACAGAGACGAGAGACAGAGACAAGAGACAGACAGAGAGACAAGAGACAAGAGACAGAGAGGACAGGACAGGAGACAAGAGACAAGAGAGACAAGAGAGAGACAAGAGACAACAAGAGAGACAAGAGAGACAAGAGACAAGAGGACAGAGAGAGACAGGGACAGACAGGAGACAGGAGACAAGAGACAAGAGACAAGGGACAAGAGATAAGGGACAAGAGATAAGGGACAGGAGACAGGAGACAACAGAAACAGACAAGAGACAAGAGACAAGAGACAGGAGGTAAAAGGCAAAAGACAAGAGGCAAGAGATAAGAGACAGGAGAAGGAGAACTCAGGAGACAGGAGACAGGAGACAGAGACAGGAGAGACAGAGACAGGAGACAGAGACAGGATGGACCAATAAGGACAGTTTTCTCACTAATATGACCATTAAAGGGGCTGTACCTGTTTTTTTTTGTTTTTGTTTTTTTTGCCTGTTTGAGCAAAGTTTGTTTTAACCCAGACTAACAGTGACTGTGTGGACGTCTGGGGACAATGGAGAAGTCTTAAAAAAAAGTATAAAGCAAAAGATCGAGCTCTGGAGTGAAGGAATTATGCAGTAAATTTAGTTTGTTTGAAGTAAGAAAGCTTTCAGAAATATGTGTGTGCGTATGATAGAAATCTGTGCACATTTGTTTGTAGTTGAGCATAAAATAAATATTTGTAAACTCTAGACACATAAAATACATAAAATGTGTTGTGTTTAATTTGTCCATCAGAATATGAACTGAAAAGTTACAACACAAGAATTACAATCACCAAATGAAAATGTACGATTATGTTTTCTTCACTACGAATCATCGAAAGTACATATGAAGACCTGGTTTAGTCCTGGTTTAGTCCTACTTTAGTCCTGGTTTAGTCCTTCTTTAGTCCTGGTTTAGTCCTGGGTCAGTCCTGGTTTAGTCCTGATTTTAGTCCGTATGCGACACAAAAGTCCAGCATCTCGATCGATGTTTCTTCTGCTCGATAAATAAATCCAGTGAAGTGATGTTTGACAGTCGAGTCGCGTCTGTGGATTTGTGTTTGTTCTGAAGAAAACATAATCGTACATTTTCATTTGGTGATCGGAACTTTTCAATTCGTATTCTGATGGATAAAATACACACAAGAGAGTTTACAAATATTTATTTTGTGCTCAACTACAGACAAATATGCACGGATGAATATTTCTGAAAGCTTTTTCCTTTATTTAGTTGTGGTTAACTTTACTATGTGATGACCAGTGTTGGGGAGTAACAGATTACATGTACTGGAGCGACGTAATCAGAGTACAAATGATGAGTAACTGTATTCAGTTACAGTTACTGTTTTAATGAGTGGTAATTGGATTACAGTTACTTTGTTGAAATAAATGNTTGCAGTGGCAATAGCTCAGTGGGCCGAGGTACAAACTGGATATACAGTATATATACTACTGATGTGGTGACTGATTTTTTATTTTAATGGCAATGCTGATAGTAATTGCTTTGGATCTAGAGTAACCGATGGCCGATACGCCCTGCTGATATTATTATTATATAATTTCCCCACATGATGTATTTTAAAGTTACTATTAGCTCATCAACGCCCTTTTTACTACTACTACTTGGGGCATAAAATGTTTTGTGCAGTTATCTTTTCACACTAATATATGTTATTCAAATTAAGTTTTCTGTGTATTCTTTAAGCAGCAGGATGTTGAAAACAAAATATTGGAATGTGCTGCTGATTTAGAGCTGATTTGATACAAAGGGCAAATATCTGCCCAATCTATCGGCGAACCGATATATTTCTCTGTCTCTAGTTATCAGCAATGTTGTTTTGTCTTTGGACAAAAAACTTCATCTGCATTACTCAAGAAATGGAAAAGAGGATTTTTTAAACTATGTGGTAAAAGTGAAGCTAGTGATGCACTTTGTGTCCATTAGTAAGAAATGATTCACTGCTGAACTGAGGAAAAGCAGAAGCTTTTGACAGTGTATAGGACAGTAAGTTTCATGTCAGTCCCTTAAGGCCTGATAAATGGAGAGGTTCTGTCTCAAATGGTACCTAATGTAAAACTTAAATCAATAAGCAAAGTGCAGAACACAGAGAAGAATTCTTTGATTCAAGAAGGAAGACTCTTTCTGTCCGGTTCTGCGAACATTGCTACTTAAGCAGCCACAATTTATGATGAAAGATAAGCCGTCTGTGTTGCAATCTTCAAAAAGTAAAGCATGATATTTAGTGCTATATTTAGACAACAACAGCAATGCGAAATGTGAGAAAAGACACCTTGTTCTACCAATACAGCCTCGTTCACTTTCACTCAGCTTGATCATTTCTATGCGGACGGTCCAACAACTATAATTTCTGGAAACACATGACAGGTTAAAACGTGTTCACAGCTGCACCACTATGGCTCCCCACGCACCCTGCACATTTCGCCAGCCGAACAGATGACTCCCTGACACGGCCGCACAGAGGGGACCCCCAGACCCAGTGTTCCACTAACATATGTGGGTATGGAGCCGGGAGAGAACCAAGCGTCACCAAATGAGTGTTCCTCGGTGAGATGCGCGACAGGCCTCAAGCCCCACATGTGCAGCAGCCATCATGAATAATGATCTGCCCACACTGTCTCCCATGACATGACAGGGGGTGCCAGCCTGTCTATTCCTCCACTGTATACGAACCACACAGGCTTTCACACAAGGATGTCTGAGAATTTGAATCATTTATGGTGCTTTACTAGCAGATACAATGAAGATTACCAATTGAGTTGTGTGGCCATGTACAGTACTAAATAGATAAAGATACTTTATTTATCACAGAGGAAATTTAACATGCAGCAACAATTCCACTTCGCTTTTGATTTGCCTTTCTGTCTCAGTGCATCTTAACAGGAGAACTGGTCAGGTGTAGGGTGAACAACAGCCCTCAGGACAAAAGAGTCCCTCTACTTTGTCTTGCAACCTGGACATCACAGTCAGCTTCCAGGGAGAACCAGGTAACCCTGGGGACACAACAGGAGAGCTGTTAATGTTTCAGTTGGTGATGAGTTGAATGAAAGAAAGATATTTTACTAATCCTGGGGGAAATTCTAGTTTTGCTGTAGCAACATGTACACTGCTCTTCTCAGTCTTTCCCAGTCAAAGGTCTTAACAGGAGGACTGGGCAGGCAAGACAGTTTGAGGAAAGGAAGAACAAAAAGTGTACCTCCTCTGTGTCCTTGCAACATCACAGCAGCCTGCAGGGGGACCCAGGTGAACATAACAACATGCATCTCCTCTGGAGGGTCTTCTGCCACATTTGGTGTAAAATGGCAGTAGCATCTCAGAGGTCCATAACTAGATCCTTAACTATGGAATCTCTACATAGTACAGGCTGATTTGTGGGTGATTCCACTTTCAAAAACTAATAGCGCCACCCCACAAGGAGGATTCTGAACCACTCCAATTAGGTACCCTTTTCAAAGCTGTCCCAAGTGGTCTGGCTCAATGTGTTAATATGCTTGTTTAACACCACTGATGAAGTAGCAGGTTGCCTAGACTTTCATTGAAACACACTTCTCCATTAAGGCTAAAATGTACCATACTGACCTAAATCAACAGTGCGTGAGCCCCAGGTCCAGTTTAATAGTGTTATATGGTTTCCATTCAAGGCATGCTTCACGGCAGGTATGTGAAGGTAAATTGCTTAGTGCATTCTATTTATACTTAGAAAAAGGCATGTAGGTTATGCTGAAACACACCACACACATTTCTTTTCTTCCTCATCTTCTTTGAAGAATGATTTTGTCTGCATGCCTCTGACGCAGCCCTTTGAATGCTATTTATTTTGCTCTGGATAAATCAAAAGTCTCCCGAGGACAGGCGTGAACAGCCCCATGTGAACAGAACACGCACAGACTCTATTCAACAGCCTGCTCTTATGCCTGACAGGTGGATGCCCATTATTTTCCTATATGGCAGACATCAGTGACACATAGAGCTGCATTTGCCTGGGGTGTTCTGAATTGAGGTGATTTTTTTGACATGGAGAGGTGATCTCAACATAATTAGAAAGATCAAAGTGCCTAATGTAGAAAAATACAATACATACATAAAATTACAAATTACTTACATGGTCCAATCAGAGTACTATATTCTGAGTACTTTGAATACTTTCACTGCATTTAAATTTAGTGTAAAAACGCTACATAGTTTTAAAAAACAGCTTTGTGTTTGTTCCATTTGTTTATCACTGATCAGAGAAGAAAACACTTGCAGGCACCACAGTGGCAGTGGTTTTTATGTTTTTCAACATTCTGTGCAGTTTAAAACTTTAACTGACTGATCAAGTACCACCATTCCTTTGATTTTAGAGTAACTGTATTCTGAATACCACCAAATGAAAAAGTAATTGTATCAGAATACCTAAATAAACCTTTGTCCAGTTGACAAATTGAATTTCTCCTTTACCATGGATTCTACCTGGATGACTGAGGGATTTTACACACATCTTGAGAATAACTATGAGCCAACCACCTTTGGACTGGAAAGAAAGCTGGAAAACAATACTAAAAGGTTAACAGACAAGAGGAATCATTTACATTTTACCCAGACATCGACAGAATCAGCTTATTCCTAAGGCTTTACAGAAGAAAGCACCAGAACCAGGACATAGGGCAGACATGTTAACTCAACATAACTTGAGGGGGATGCTTAGCCTTAGAATTAGCCGTCTCAGTTATGACACTGAAAACTTAAAATGTGAAATAGAAAGCTTACGAAACAGGATAATGATATTAGTCTCTAAAGAAATACTTCAGAAGATTAACAACTTCATAACCACAGGTCAGTTAAGACATCACAACAAAACCAAAGAATAGCACAAAAGGAAGTTTACACAACTCCAAAATCAAACACACCCCAGGGATCGGAGGGACAAAAGGAAGGAGGATAAACCTAGCCTAACCTAGCTCAGTAGAGGCAGCAAGGAGGCTACTGCAGGATACCAAGCTAGAAGAGAGAACTAAACTTTCACGTGACCAAATCTGGCAACTGTTGGAAGTTTGTCACAGGAAACTTCTACAGGCAAATCCACAGGTGTGCGATGGGCTCACCGGTCTCTCCTATCATTGCTAACTTATGGAACAATTTGAACAGAGTGCCTTGGCCTCTTATCCAAGAACTCCACACACACATCACTATCGTTAAGGGGATGATAACTTTTCTAAAATCAAAATTCAAGATTTGGAACCTTTTACTGCACATATTAATGCTGTAGAGCCGAAGATCAAATTCACTTGTGAAGATGCCAAAGAGAACACATTGGCTTTCTTAGATTGTGCAGTAACAATAGACTGGCGAGTCCAGGTGGAAGTCTTCAGGAAGTCCACACACACGAACCAGTACCTGCTTTTTGATTCATACCACCCACTGCAGAACAAAGTTGGAGTTACTCGGACATTATGACAGAGTCCCATTTGGTTCCTACAAGCACAGAGGGAAAAGAGAAAGAACAACAAGTGCAGAAAGTCCTCTCTGTTTGTGGATATCCCAAATGGGCTTTCAATAGAACAAAGAGAGCCAAAAAAACAAGACAACAACAGAGAATCAGAACCCAGGAGAAAGGGCGTAACTATTCCTTACATGGCTGGTGTTTCTGAAAAACTATTGAGGCTTTTCAGACATGAAATCCCAGTATATTTTCAAACCTACAAACACTTTAAGTCAGAAAGTGGTCCACCAAAAGGACAAAACATTGAGCCACAAACAAAGCAATGTTGTGTCCTCTATTCAGTGTCCTGAAGACTGCAGTGAGCGCTACATTGGAGAAACGAAACAGCCACTTCACCAGATTAATCAGTTGGATCGACCAACACAGACCAGAGAGCCAGAGTGGACCTCAGTCTGCCGTACATCTCCACCTAAAAGCCACGGGCCACTCCTTTGAGGATAGTGAGGTACAGATCTTTGCCAGAGAAAAGAATTGGTTTGAGTGGGAATTAAAGAGACTATTTTTATTAGGAAAGACAATCCTTCCTTGAACCACCATCTGTCTCCCATTTACAACTCCATCCTAAAACAAAGAATAGGGATAGCCAGGTCAGAGCCAGATGTCATTATGGGCCTTTATGATTATGCTGTTATGTCCCCTAACCAAGATACAGGTGAATAGGCCTAGCTAACAAACAGAAACTGTAAACAAGTAGGTGGTGTTAGTTTCAGAGTAGTTTCATTGTAGTTGGGTCCTCTCTGCAGGCAGATATAAGGAAGTGTCCACCAGCATTCCGAGCAGAAATGAAGAAGCAGCTTGGACCTAAATACGGTAGTTTGTCCAGTTCACAAATTGAATTTCTTCTTTACTAGAATACAGTTACTCAAATTATTCAGAATAAGTATTCTCAGTACATGTTCAGTTATGTCCCGACACTGGTCACAGCTGGAATGCACAGTACTGCTGCTTTTTATAGTTATTTCTATCTGTATATGGCTGGATAAATGACATACATAAGCACGTCATTAGAATGATGAAATGGTAATGTGTATAAAGTGAACAGAAAGGTTTAAACTACACTAAAGATTGTAAAGATTAGCTGTAACTAATTTTTCTCCACAGTGATAGGGTGATAGCCAACATGTGACTGTGGACTGCTGCTGCTTGGCTCTCTCATACTGAATGCATCAATGCCTTTTACTAGGCAATCTTCAGCATCCATTTCAAGTCAATTTAAATGAAATACTGTCATCTCCAGTAAACACCGCGGCTCATGCAACAGGATATTTCTCCTCGCTAAACAGGTTTTCAGTCCTCTACAAAATAACGTATGCAAATAGCCCTATCCCATTTTGCAAACAATATCTATTTGTGACAGAAGAATGAGATTATATACAGGGGCATTTGTACACAACCGGCAGAAAACAGCTTTAATATGCATGATGGAGGCAGTAGTTAGGGGGGGATCTAATAAAGCTACATCATAGTTGACCGTAAACTGGTAGTACCACATTATCGAGGAGATGTGTGCATCTGCTTGACTAATAGGTATATTACTAGTGGACAAAAAATCAAGATGATGTTGAGTAAGATCACTCACGTCCCCTACACTGATCCCTTGCTAGTCTCACTCATAACGCCCTAGCTTTAGAGGGTCACGCACTGAGTATCTCGAGACACGCTTTTAACAGACCCACACTTTATGAATACCTATACTTTCACTAAATCTACGCTTCGTACAGATCCGCTTGACTCACTGCAGCATCGCTGTTATGACGATTCGGAACTTGCTCGCGCCAGTTGTCTTCTCGTCATTTCACTCTCACATCCACAGTATCCTTCATACAACACAAACAACAATGAGGTAGAGAGACACAACAAAAAAACTAAAAAACACACCTGCACTTCACATATTGAGGTCTGCAATGCATTCTAACTGGGAGGTAGAGTAGAGATATAAGAGAAGATACTCGAGTGCTTGTTCTAGCAGATCATGAGGACCTGAACACCTGCCACACTGTTTTAGTCATGCATGGGTATATCTCGATCATTACTATCTTCGGTTAATCACGAACAAATGGGCCTCTCCTTCACTGACAGATATCTTGGCTGATCGAAGGGAGAATTCACGCTTTGGAATTGAGCCAGTGTGCACTTTGCTGCCAATTGTGAAACGATTTGTTTGCATATGATACGTGTCATTGTCGATTGCAGCGATATCGAACATTTTAACATGGCTTAAAGATCGAGACATCAGGCTATGAATAGAAGAAGAGACGACGTCAAAAAGTCGCACGAGAGGAGGCTGAAACAGTCATGAGACAGGGGCGCGGGCTCTCGTTCCAGACCTGGACACAATCTCTTCCACACACGGGCCTCTAACATCCTATAGACCCCACACAACTTGGATCTACTCTTCCGTACCTCCTCGGGAAGAGCAATCCAGATATTGCGACCTCGTCCCTTCACTGTACAGGACAAAATGACTACATGTATGCTACAGCTCATTCTATTATGTTATCTGGAGCTATGCCAGCTAGGCAACTGCAGGCATCTCAAATGAGTGGACGTAGAGATAGCTCCCGCTTGAATAGACAGTGAGGAAAATCCATCTATTATATTTTAAGGAGTTAAAACTAGAGGAGTCGATTTGGTAGGTCGAAATGACGAACTGGTCTACCGTTTTCTGAATCCTGGGAATTTATACTAGGACGCTACTGATCATATAAATGGCAATTCTTTTATTTTCAAACTTCTATATTCATACAGAGAGATAAACTCAGATAACCAGCAGGTGCGTATTAAATCACAACGAATATAACAATCAGTGCTGTATTTGGGTGTTATATATTGGTGTTATTTAATTCCTACAGCTAACTGAGCCTACTATAAAGCATGTACATGAGGGTCACATGGTGTTAATGTGTTCAGAGTTTGTGGCGTGTAGGTAATAGGGTAGCTTGTCTAGCTGAGGAAGCACATTCGATGAGTACGTCGGCGTTAGCAGACTCATGTATCGTTATTATGAGATCCGTGTCTGCAGAACGAGCATCAGCATAATAGAAGTAAGCATCTTTTCATTGCTCGCTTCTTTCGGTTCGTTCCATCATACCTCAGAGCGTGCTTATGTGGAACGTCGATGAGACAACATCGTATCCAATCACACTCACACTAGCTCAAACTCAGCAGAAAATCACAGGCTATCTTTAATTTCCCTTTGGTTCAATTATGCTACACGCCCAAGCAACATTGTGAGAATGGAAAAGTTATCAATAGGGAAAGCACGCATCAGCAGAAATGAGACAACAATGTACAAAATAAGAAGGCATAAAGCATATTATTGCGTGCTAGAAATGTAGTCTCTGTATTATTTGTGCTCGCATCTTTACTCTAGAAATCACGCTTGTTTACAGCCGGTGCATGTTCAGAATTACTGTTGAAGTGACCTGTCTAGAAATAATTCAGCGACCGACTTGTCAGTTTTTAGACCCTTCGTCTGCTTCAATCGCACCATCGCTGGAACAAATCCCAAAGAATCACCTCAGTTTGTTTTCGCTCCTTTTCCCCTTCTCTTCTTCTTTCAGCGACCTCAAAAACTGACTTCCTTTTGTGGCGAACTGGTCGTGGATTCTCGTCCGCCATCGCAACAAACTTTTCGAAATGTGAGGAAGCTACAGTTTAAAAAAACCTCTAAGAACCGCTGCATAAACCATGTAATCCCCGCACACCGATGAGTCAGTTACACTAGAAACGTGGGGAGTTTGATTGACCTAACCTAACCTAACCTAACAGCCAATAGAAAATGAGGCAGCCTTGGCTGCTATTGGCTGATGTTTATCTGGCCTCACTACATCCACAGTTGATGAATTTTCATTCTTTTTTTTTTGGTCATCATAATTACAAGGCTGCTGCATCTCTGTAATGGTATTTTAAAATTTCATTGAAAATATGAAACAGAAAAAAAATCCTCCGTACAACTTTGAAGTGGTGCTGGGACGCCCGAGTGGATTCGTGTATAGGGCGCTCTGGATTGTGGTGCGCAGTCGTTTTTTGATGGGGTTGGAGGCTTAAGAGCGCATCTAATAGCCCGGAAAATACAGTATATTTATAAATTTTTACTGCTGCAGATTTGCTCTGTGGAGGTGTTGTTTTTTTTTTTTTACAATGAAATAAACCTAAATCTAAATACAGTGTGAGTGGAGAGGTCCTGCTCGACTCACACATCCACAGATCCTTTCAGATCAGAGTCTGACTTTAGCTGCTGCACTCCAAATCAGAACTGAGCACGGGCACACTTCTGGCTCCACTGACTCTAGCTCCAGTTCTTTTTGTATTGAAAAATGCTACTGTAACTGCTTATGTCAGGCTCCTCAATTTGGTCTTAAAATGTTTATATTAAGATGATCTATGTGAAGAATATCTCAGTCGTCCAGGTAGAATCCAAGGCGAGGAGAAAATTCAGTTTGTCGACTGGACAAACTGAATTGTCTAACTAACAAACTAACTTTTGTCCAGTCGACAATCAGAATTTTCTACTCCCCATTAAGCTGATCTACTTGATCCTGGGTTTTTATTTCGCTCTTTTGTCCACTAATCAAAATCTGAATATTAATATCAGATCAAATCAGGCACCTTCTTTTTCATAAGAACTTGTAAAACTCATTTTCACATCACAAACTACTTCAAGTACACAGACAACTGATACTCTGCAGCTTCCTGGAGGTGATGCTAACCTGAAGCACTGCTCTGTCTGAAGCTCTGTTACTCAACTTAAACTTTAATCTGAGTTTTGTTTAAACACACCAGACCAGAAAGATCTAAGTTAATTTTGTGCTGTTAAACAGTCCCTTTCAAATAAACATTAGTAAACAACTGTTGTTTGAATCCATTTTGGAGACAATCTGGAGCATGAACACAAACTATTTTAGAGTTTTGAACTCAATGAAGGACTCAAATGATTTCTTTATCACACTATAAACTTCAGCTTCATATTATTTTGAAGTCAAAACTGTATCTTGAATTAGTTTTAAACTACTTTATATTGCTCCTTTTATATTAATCATAAATCACATCAAGCACCTTTTTTCCCTGAAGTCGCTCTTACTGCTGTTACAGGCAACAGGTTGGCTCCATATAACTGCTGCCATAAGTGAGCTTCATTTGACTGCAGCCGAGCAGCTGACGTCACACTCCCTTAGTCCACTTCTGTTTACAGTCTGTATACAGAAGTGGACTCTGGCCTAGTATTTGTTCATCTTGTTCTGAGAGAAAAACTCTAGTGGAAAAACTGTCCTGGGCGATTTATGATCGTCTTTGTTTTGTTTTCGACTTGTCAGAAGTGAGTTATGTTCATCCCGGGCATGTGGGGGAAGTGTCTGGCCTAAGGACACAATAACATGGTATTCCCAGTGCTCTCCCATCCGAGCACTAACCAGGCCCAGCCCTGCACTGCCACTGACGAGCAGCTACGGCTAATCTCTATAATAATTACAAGCCACTCAGGATTTGACACAAGACAAAAGCTTTTGTTCACGTCAGCGCAGCAGGATTTCATTTACACATCTGTTAATACAGCCACCCTGCTCCCCTTTTCCAGACGCCCCAAAGACGGGACATTCTGCACATGACACGCCTAAAGATATAAATAATGTCACTGTAAGATTTTTCTTACATTTCTGGAGGTAAACAACAGAAGAGGTTTCAGACTGATACCTTTAAATTTAAAGCCACACTAAGTAACTTTTAGACAAAATAAAAATAAATGCATGTTTTTTCTTCAGTTTGATTGTGTTTATTGCACTGAAGAACATGTCCTTACTGTGAGTGGGCTCGCATCTCCACAAACCTGACTCAGATCTGACCTGGAGGAGACCGACTCCTGCTTGTTTCCATGGAGATGTTGTTTGTCTTTAATCTCCCTCAGTACGGCATGAAGCAAATCAATCTATATGGAGAATGTCCCAAAGTATTAGTTTAACCTTCTGTTTCCATGGAAACACATAGGAAAACCAGCTCTAGAAAGTGACATACTGTAGCTTTAAGATTTTCCTCAATTCACCTGCAGAGTCTCCCCCAGAAAACTGACGCCACTGAACCAAGACTGAACCAAAACTGAACCAAGACTGAACCAAGACTGAACCAAGACTGATCCAAGACTAAACCAGGACTACACCAGGACTACACCAGGATCAAACCAGGTCTGCAGTCCCATCTCCTCAGCTCTTCCACATACCTGTCCTCTGTCCCAGAGCGCTGGTGTTGATGCGGGGGGTCACGCTGCCGAGGGCCCCCATGCTGGAGAGGGGCCCCGGGTTGTTCCTGGGCCCCTGGGAGCCTCCCGCGCGCCCGTCCTTGATCTCGATGGTGAGGAACGTCTTCATGTCTGCGTCTGCTCTGCTCCCTGGGGCCTGCTCCTCCTCGGCCCCGTGCTTTTCTCCCGCCGGCCCGGCCCCGCCTCCCGAGCTCTCCGATTGGCCGAGGGAGGACACGGGCTCCGCAGGCGGGTTCGCTTCTCTCCGGGGCGTCCTGTCAGTGGGAGGGTTGATCCTGGGGGCCGGGCTGCTCCTGTAGGGGGCGCTCTGGGCGCTCTGGGTGCTCTGGGTGCTCTCTGTGTATTTGCGCAGCCGGTCCCGGACTGAGTTGGTGCGGCTGAAGTGTTCCAGGACTGAGCACACAACAAGATGTCACACTTCAGCAGGTTTATGAGAACTTGTAAAACTCATTTTCACCTCACAAACTACTTCAACTACACGGACAATGATACTTCACAGCTGAGGTCATCAACGTTCCCTGGAGGTGATGCTAACCTGAAGCACTGCTCTGTCTGAAGCTCTGTTACTCAACTTAAACTTTAATCTGAGTTTTGTTTAAACACAATCTGGAGATAATCTGGAGCATGAACACAAACTAGATTAGAGTTTTGATCTCAAAGAAGGACTCAAATGATTTCTTTATCACACTATAAACTTCAGCTTCATATGATTTTGAAGTAAAAATAACATTCTTGATGTTGCTCCTGGTCGTGTGTGAGTCTTACCTGCGTCTTTGGGTTTCCCGTTGCTCAGGGAGCTGCTGATGATCTGAAAACAAAAGTATTTATGAGATTATGAACAATCCCATAAACCAGGACTAAACCAGAACTAAACCAGGTCTAAACCAAGTCTAAACCAGGTCTAAACCAGAACTAAACCAGGTCTAAACCAAGTCTAAACCAGGTCTAAACCAGAACTAAACCAGGTCTAAACCAGAACTAAACCAGGTCTGAACCAGGTCTGAACCAGGTCTAAACCAGAACTAAACCAGGTCTAAACCAGAACTAAACCAGGTCTGAACCAGAACTAAACCAGGTCTAAACCAGGTCTGAACCAGGTCTGAACCAGGTCTGAACCAGAACTAAACCAGGTCTGAACCAGGTCTGGACCAGAACTAAACCAGGTCTGAACCAGGTCTGGACCAGGTCTGAACCAGAACTAAACCAGGTCTAAACAAGGTCTGAACCTGAAATAAATCAGGTCTGCACCAGGTCTGGATCAGGACTAAATAAGGTCTGAATATGGACTAGTTTGAACAAACATAAACCAGGTCTAAAGCCAGACGTGCCAAAAACCAAACTACTTCTTCACCTGGTCTGAACCAGGACTAAAACTGGTCTGGACCAACACAAACCAAGTCTAACGCAAGACCAGAATTAGACCATGAATAAACCAGCAGGACAAAACCAGGTCTGAACCAGGACTAGAACTGGTCTAAACCAGGTCTGAACCAGGATCAGAACCTGGTCTAACCCAAGTTTGACTCTGGAAAAATAAATAAAGTCTAAACAAGGACTAAACAAGCTCAGAACCAGAACTAAACCTGGACTAGACCAGAGTGAGGACAAGAACTAGACCAAAGCAAGTCTGAACAGAAAACAAATCTGAACTAAACCAGGTCTGGACCAGGACTAAATGAGGACTTCAGCAAGGATTTGAAACAACCTAATCGAAGTCTAATCAGGACTAATGAGGTTTATATTAGAACTGAACCAGGTCTAAACCAAGACTACATCAGATCTGAACCAGGATTACACAAGATCTAAAACAGGTTTAAATCAGGTCTAAACCAGAACTAAACCAGGTCTAAACCAGGACTAAACCAGGACTAAACCAGGACTAAACCAGGACTACTTCAAATCTAAACCAGGATTACGCAAGAGTTAAACGAGGTCTAAACCACACCTAAACCAGGACTACAACAGGTCTAAATCAGATCTAACCCAGGTCTAAACCAGGACTAAACCAGGACTAAGCTAGGACTGCACTAGATCTAAACCAGGTCTGAATCAGGTCTAAACCAGGTCTACACAGGGAGTAAACCAGGACTGCACCAGGTCTAAACCAAGACTACAACAGATCTAAACCAGGACTAAACCAGGACTAAACCGGGACTAAACTGGGACTACTTCAGGTCTAAACCAGATCTAAACCAGATCTAAACCAGGACTAAACCAGGTCTAGAGCAGGTCTAGAGCAGGTCTAGAGCAGGTCTCTGGTGCTGGTGTTGGGGGCTGTCCTCGTCCTCGTCCTCAGTAATGAGCGTGTGTTTCCTCTGATCGTTGACAGTGGACATGTTTTCATTATGTAACTGGAGTGTTTGGAGTGAGGGGGGGGACGGGGGACGGTCTTTTTTTAGGGCCCGGGGACACGAGGGGCCCCTGCTGTTTACACTACGCTCAAAGGACTGGACCACGGGGACAACAAAACAAGTCCAGACCAGACTGTCCAAAGACATTAGAGACAAGACAGAGAGACAACACGGTCCCACGGAGAGGACAGGGACACACACGGACAGAGACACAAGACACAAGACACAAGAGACAGAGAGACAACACAGTCCCACAGAGAGGACACGGACACACACGGACAGAGACACAAGACACAAGACACAAGAGACAAGAGACAAGAGACAAGAGACAAGAGACAAGAGACAGAGGACAGAGAACAGAGAACAGAGAACAGGAGACAGAGGACAGGGGACAGGAGACAGGAGACAGGAGACAGAGACTGGAAACAAGAGGCTAGAGACAATAGACAGAGGACAGGGGACAGGAGACAAGAGACAGAGACGAGACAAGAGGCAAGAGAGAAGAGAGAAGAGACAGAGGATGGGGATAGGAGACAGGGGACAGGAGACAAGAGATAGGAGACAGAGACGAGACAAGGGACAAGAGACAAGAGACAAGAGACAGGAGACAGGAGATAGGAGAGAAGAGACAGAAGACAGGGGACAGGAGACAAGAGACAAGAGAAAAGACAAGACAGACACAGGAGATAAGAGACAAGAGACAGAGACGAGACAAGAGACAAGAGGCAAGAGAGAAGAGACAGAGGACAGGGGACAGGAGACAGGAGACAGGAGACAGGAGACAAGAGACAAGAGACAAGGGACAAGAGATAAGGGACAGGAGACAGGAGACAACAGAAACAGACAAGAGACAAGAGACAGGAGGTAAAAGGCAAAAGACAAGAGGCAAGAGATAAGAGACAGGAGAAGGAGAACAGGAGACAGGAGACAGGAGACAGAGACAGGAGACAGAGACAGGAGATAGAGACAGGATGGACCAATAAGGACAGTTTCTCACTAATATGACCATTAAAGGGGCTGTACCTGTTTTTTTTGTTTTTGTTTTTTTTTGCCTGTTTGAGCAAAGTTTGTTTTAACCCAGACTAACAGTGACTGTGTGGACGTCTGGGGACAATGGAGAAGTCTTAAAAAAAAGTATAAAGCAAAAGATCGAGCTCTGGAGTGAAGGAATTATGCAGTAAATTTAGTTTGTTTGAAGTAAGAAAGCTTTCAGAAATATGTGTGTGCGTATGATAGAAATCTGTGCACATTTGTTTGTAGTTGAGCATAAAATAAATATTTGTAAACTCTAGACACATAAAATACATAAAATGTGTTGTGTTTAATTTGTCCATCAGAATATGAACTGAAAAGTTACAACACAAGAATTACAATCACCAAATGAAAATGTACGATTATGTTTTCTTCACTACGAATCATCGAAAGTACATATGAAGACCTGGTTTAGTCCTGGTTTAGTCCTACTTTTAGTCCTGGTTTAGTCCTGTTTAGTCCTTCTTTAGTCCTGGTTTAGTCCTGGGTCAGTCCTGGTTTAGTCCTGAGTTTTAGTCCGTATGCGACACAAAAGTCCAGCATCTCGATCGATGTTTCTTCTGCTCGATAAATAAATCCAGTGAAGTGATGTTTGACAGTCGAGTCGCGTCTGTGGATTTGTGTTTGTTCTGAAGAAAACATAATCGTACATTTTCATTTTGGTGATCGGAACTTTTCAATTCGTATTCTGATGGATAAAATACACACAAGAGAGTTTACAAATATTTATTTTGTGCTCAACTACAGACAAATATGCACGGATGAATATTTCTGAAAGCTTTTTCCTTTATTTAGTTGTGGTTAACTTTACTATGTGATGACCAGTGTTGGGGAGTAACAGATTACATGTACTGGAGCGACGTAATCAGAGTACAAATGATGAGTAACTGTATTCAGTTACAGTTACTGTTTTAATGAGTGGTAATTGGATTACAGTTACTTTGTTGAAATAAATGGATTACACTGAGGGATTTTCCTGTTTTTACATTTTGGGCTATATTCCTTTTTTTTTTTTTCTTGGTAATTCCACTCATTGATGGACACTAAACCAGGTCTAAAACCAGGTCTAAACCAGGACTAAACCAGGACTAAACCAGGTCTAGACCAGATCTAAACCAGATCTAGACCAGATCTAAACCAGATCTAAACCAGGACTAAACCAGGACTAAACCAGGACTAAACCAGGTCTAAACCAGGACTAAACCAGGTCTAAAACCAGGTCTAAACCAGGTCTAAACCAGGTCTAGACCAGATCTAAACCAGATCTAAACCAGGACTAAACCAGATCTAAACCAGGTCTAAACCAGGACTAAACCAGATCTAAACCAGGAATCAAAACCAGGTCTAAACCAGGACTAAACCAGGACTAAACCAGGTCTAAACCAGGACTAAACCAGGTCTAAAACCAGGTCTAAACCAGGACTAAACCAGGACTAAACCAGGTCTAAACCAGGACTAAACCAGGTCTAAAACCAGGACTAAACCAGATCTAAACCAGGACTAAACCAGGTAAACTAAACCAGATCTAAACCAGGACTAAACCAGATCTAAACCAGGACTAAACCAGGACTAAACCAGGACTAAAACCAGGACTAAAACCAGGACTAAACCAGGTCTAAACCAGATCTAAACCAGATCTAAACCAGGTCTAAACCAGCTAAACCAGGACTAAACCAGGACTAAACCAGGTCTAAACCAGGACTAAACCAGATCTAAACCAGGACTAAACCAGGACTAAACCAGGACTAAACCAGGTCCTAAACCAGATCTAAACCAGGACTAAACCAGATAAACCAGGGCTAAACCAGGACTAAACCAGGACTAAACCAGGACTAAACCAGGATTAAAACCAGGTCTAAACCAGGTCTAAACCAGAACTAAACCAGGACTAAACCAGGTCTAAACCAGGTCTAAACCAGATCTAAACCAGGACTAAACCAGGACTAAACCAGGACTAAACCAGGACTAAACCAGGACTAAACCAGGTCTAAACCAGGACTAAACCAGATCTAAACCAGGACTAAACCAGGTCTAAACCAGGTCTAGCCCAGAACTAACCCAGGACTAAAACCAGGACTAAACAAGGATTAAAACCAGGTCTAAACCAGGTCCGAACCAGGTCTATACCAGGACTACACCAGGACTAAACCAAGAACCAGGTCTAAACCAGATTTTAACAGGACTAAATCCTGCTGTGTGGACGTGTCTCTTCTTCTATCAATAATATTTTTAATACGGTTCAGTAAAGTCTGGACTTTTCATCGTTTTTTAGCAGACAAAACATTTTATGTGAAGAAATCCGAATCTTTGCTTCTCTACAGCGAATCAAGTAATCCAAAGTATTCAGATTACATTATTCACTTTAAGTAATTCAATGGATTATGTTACAAACTACATTTTGGGGTGTGTAATCTGTAATCTGTAGGGGAATACATTTTAAAAGTCACCTTCCCAACACTGGTGACAAACCTCTGCTCTGGTCTGTGACATGTGTGAAAAAAACTTATAAACTCAATAACTGTGAATTTTTGCGATGCTCAAAATGAACCTCTGCAAACTGTTTAAAGGAACAGAAAGTCTGACTGATAACAAGTGTAATGCCAATTTATTCTTAGTTACAAAAACATTGGACATGACGGACAAGTTGTTTAGGTTATAATTTGGTGTTGTGGTTTGATCGTCCAATCAGGAAGCAGAATGAGCGTCACGTGACTCTCTCATTTGGGTTGCTGCTGAAATCCAGTTATTTTAAACCTAAAATGCCTCTCATGAATCTGAATCCTCACGACCTAAACCCCCATTTAGGAGCTTATTTCTTTCCCTGCGATGTTCCAGAGTATGGCATTAAACTTCCAAATCTCCAGGTGATGTCAGTGGATTCAATTTCAGGGCAGATCTATGGAGAGGCAAGGTATTCAGAGTACTTTTTCAACAATAAATCAACTGTAATTATATAAATGCAAGATGAGTTGAATGCCATATTGTGGAACTTTTAGGGAACACAGAGACGAGCAGGTGTTAGATCCCCTGAGGAAAGTTACACAGCGCAAAACACATGGACATAGCTCAGATAAAGAGGAAACAGTGCCCTCTAGTGGCGCGGTTCGGCAGGCAGCACTTTCACTGTGTGTGTTGTTGTGTCGTCTTCGTCCAGCAGAGGGAGCCACTGGATCTACAAATGGACCTGACACTAAAGTGGGTCAGTGTGTCCCTCACGCTGACGTTACAAGACAGAATACAAGACCAGGACTAAACCAGGACTAAACCAGGACTAAACCAGGACTAAACCAGGTCTAAACCAGGACTAAACCAGGACATAACCAGGTCTAAACCAGGACTAAACCAGAACTAAACCAGGACTAAACCAGAACTAAACCAGGACTAAACCAGAACTAAACCAGGACTAAACCAGGACTAAACCAGAACTAAACCAGGACTAAACCAGGACTAAACCAGGACTAAACCAGAACTAAACCAGGACTAAACCAGAACTAAACCAGGATTAAACCAGGACTAAACCAGAACTAAACCAGGTCTAAACCAGGACTAAACCAGGACTAAACCAGAACTAAACCAGGACTCAACTAGGACTAAACCAGGACTAAACCAGGTCTAAACCAGAACTAAACCAGGCCTAACCCTGGTGTATGAAGTTTAAAAACACAGTGGAGCACCGTGTTTTACCACATGACATCACAAGGTGGAACGAAGTGTTTTCCGTTTGAGAGAAGAGGAAATATTCTAACACTGATCAAACATGAGTGTAATGTTTGACCCAGTGCGAGCGCTGGGAGTGAACTGAGACATCACCTGTGCTCCTCAACTAAAGTGCGGCCAAAAGAAATACAAATACAAACCAAAATTGAATTGAAATAGAAAGTGCAGCGTCTTACCTTCTGGTTGAGGAAGTCTGAGCGGCCCTTCAGACCGCCGTTGGTCAGTCCGGTTTTTGGCCCCTGCCTGGAAAGCCCGGCCCCATCAGGCTGGTCGTGCGGTGCGGAGGCCCTCACCGCGGGGCCCGCACTCTCTCCCTCAGAGTCTGTGCAGTGAGTGGAGCCATTGGTCACAGGTGTGGGCTCCTCAGAGGGGCCCTTCTCATCTGAGCAAACACTGGCACTATGCTCAGAGGCCGCTGAGCCCAGTCTGGGGCGGGGCCCGGGGTCTGAGGGGTCAGAGTCCATCCTGGTTCTTGTCCGGGACACGGAGCCCACACTGTGCTCTGAGGCCCCTGAATCAAGGCGGCTGCGCTGGAGTGTCCCCTGGCTTTTGTCTGAGGCCCCTGAGTCAAGACGGTTTCGCTGGAGTGGCCCCTGGCTTTTGTCTGAGGCCCCTGAGTCAAGACGGTTTCGCTGGAGTGGCCCCTGGCTCTTATCTGAGGCCCCTGAATCAAGACGGTTTCGCTGGAGTGGCCCCTGGCTCTTATCTGAGGCCCCTGAATCCAAACGGCCACGTGGGATTGGCCCCTGGCTCTTGTCTGAGGCCCCTGAGTCTAGGCGGCTGCGCTGGAGTGGCTCCTGACTCTTGTCTGAGGCCCCTGAATCTAGGCGGCTGCGCTGGAGTGGCCCCTGGCTCTTGTCTGAGGCCCCGGAGCCGAGCCTGCCCCTGTATGAGGAGCCTGCAGAGTCCAGGTTGGAGCCGGAGTGAACAGAGCTGGAGCTACGGTCAGAGGAGGCGGAGTCTGATCTCTGACGAGGGGGCGGGACCAGGTCAGGCCCCGGGTTGAGGGCCTCTCTTGGGGCTTCTCTGGGGGCCTGGATGAGTAAAGGTTGGGGCCCCTCATCCTTCAGCAGGGGGTCGAACACCAGCACCATGCCTGAGCCGGAGCCTGGACACACACAGAGGAGAGAGGGAATTAAACCTGTGAGCTGCTGGTTCAAGGGTCAAGTCCTCATCACAAACCAACACTTCAGCTCCGGACCAAAGTGTCCAACGCTTCAGCTCCGGACCAAAGTGTCCAACGCTTCAGCTCCGGACCAAAGTGTCCAACGCTTCAGCTCCGGACCAAAGTGTCCCTGGACTTGTCCTCAACTCATTTTAAGAGTTTTTTGTAAAGTGGACATGCCATTTGAATATAATAATATAATACTGAACTGAAACTTTCAAAACCAGACACTGCAGTGTTTACACGTCCAGAGGAGTGGAGCAACATGAGGCCCCGCTGAGGCCCCGCTGAGGCCCCGCTGAGGCCCCGCTGAGGCCCCGCTGAGGCCCCGCTGAGACCCCGCTGAGGCCCCGCTGAGGCCCCTGGCTCCTCACATGAGGGACCAAAGCAAAGGAGAGCGGAGGAGACTGGAGCAGAGTGGAGGAGAGTGGAGGAGAGTGAAGGAGAGTGAAGGAGAGTGAAGGAGAGTGAAGGAGAGTGGAGGAGAGAGTGGAGGAGAGTGAAGGAGAGTGGAGAGTGGAGGAGAGTGGAGGAGAGTGGAGGAGAGAGAGTGAAGGAGAGTGAAGGAGAGTGAAGGAGAGTGGAGGAGAGTGGAGGAGAGAGGAGAGTGAGGAGAGTCGGAGGAGAGTGAAGGAGAGTGAAGGAGAGTGAAGGAGAGTGGAAGGAGAGTGGAGGAGAGTGAGGAGGAGAGTGGAGGAGAGTGAAGGAGAGTGAAGGAGAGTGAGGAGAGAGGAGTGGAGGAGAGTGGAGGAGAGTGAGGAGAGTGGAGGAGAGAGGAGAGCGAGGAGAGTGAAGGAGAGTGAGGAGAGTGGAGGAGAGTGAAGGAGAGTGGAGAGAGAGTGAAGAGAGAGAGGAGGAGTGGAGGAGAGTGAAGGAGAGTGAGGAGGAGAGTGGAGGAGAGAGTGAAGGAGAGTGGAGGAGAGTGAAGGAGAGAGAGAGCGGAGGAGAGTGGCAGAGAGAGAGAGAGTGAAGGAGAGTGGAGGAGAGTGAAGGAGAGTGAGGAGAGAGAGTGAGGAGAGTGAAGGAGAGTGGAGGAGAGTGGAGGAGAGAGTGAGGAGAGAGAGTGAAGGAGAGTGGGAGAGAGAGTGGAGGAGGAGGAGAGTGAAGAGGAGAGTGAAGGAGGAGGAGAGTGAAGGAGAGTGAAGGAGAGTGAAGAGAGTGAGAGAGTGGAGGAGAGTGAGGAGGAGAGCGAGAGGAGAGTGAGAGGAGAGTGAGGAGAGTGAGAGAGTGGGAGAGAGGAGTGAGAGGAGAGTGAAGAGAGGGAGAGAGTGGAGGAGAGTGAGGAGAGTGAAGGAGAGTGGAGGAGAGGAGAGGAGGAGAGGAGGAGAGTGGAGGAGAGTGAAGGAGAGTGGAGAGAGAGAGTGGAGAGAGAGTGGAGGAGAGTGAGGAGGAGAGTGGAGAGAGGAGGAGAGTGGAGAGAGTGGAGGAGAGTGGAGGAGAGAGTGATGGAGGAGAGTGGAGGAGAGTGAAGGAGAGTGAAGGAGAGTGAGGAGAGTGGAGGAGAGTGGAGAGGAGAGTGAAGGAGAGTGGAGGAGAGTGGAGGAGAGTGAGGAGAGTGGAGGAGTGAAGGGAGGAGAGCGGAGGAGAGTGAAGGAGAGTGGAGGAGAGTGGAGGAGAGTGAAGGAGAGTGAAGGAGAGTGAAGGAGAGTGAGGAGAGTGGAGGAGAGTGAAGGAGAGTGGAGGAGAGGAGGAGGAGAGTGAAGGAGAGTGAGAGTGAAGGAGGAGAGTGAGGAGAGTGGAGGAGAGTGAGGAGAGTGGAGAGGAGAGTGGAGGAGAGAGGGAGAGAGTGAAGGAGAGAGATGGAGGAGAGAGGAGAGTGGAGGAGAGTGGAGGAGAGGAGGAGAGGAGGAGAGTGGAGGAGAGTGGAGGAGGAGAGTGAAGAGAGGAGGAGAGAGTGGAGGAGGAGAGTGAAGGAGAGTGGAGGAGAGTGGAGGAGAGTGAGGAGGAGAGTGAAGGAGAGTGAGGAGAGGAGAGTGAAGGAGAGTGGAGGAGAGTGGAGGAGAGTGGAGGAGAGAGAGTGAAGGAGAGAGTGGAGGAGTGAAGGAGAGGAGAGGAGAGAGAGAGAGTGGAAGGAGAGTGGAGGAGAGAGAGGAGAGTGAAGGAGAGTGGAGGAGAGAGTGAAGAGGAGAGTGGAAGGAGAGTGGAGGAGAGTGGAGGAGGAGAGTGAAGAGGAGAGTGAGGAGAGAGAGAGCGGAGGAGAGTGGAGAGTGGAGGAGAGAGAGTGAGGAGGAGAGTGGAGGAGAGTGGAGGAGAGAGAGTGGAGAGGAGAGCGGAGGAGAGTGAGGAGAGTGAGAGGAGAGTGAAGGAGAGTGGAGGAGAGGAGAGCGGAGGAGAGTGGAGGAGAGTGGAGGAGAGTGAGGAGAGTGAAGGAGAGTGGAGGAGAGTGAAGGAGAGAGGAGAGTGGAGGAGAGGAGAGCGGAGGAGAGTGGAGGAGAGTGGAGGAGAGTGGAGGAGAGTGGAGGAGAGGAGAGTGGAGAGCGGAGGAGAGTGGAGGAGAGTGAAGGGGAGGAGAGTGAGGAGAGTGAAGGAGAGTGGAGGAGAGCGGAGGAGAGTGGAGGAGAGAGAGTGGAGGAGAGTGGAGGAGAGTGGAGGAGAGGAGAGTGAAGGAGAGTGGAGGAGAGGAGAGCGAAGGAGAGTGAAGGAGAGTGAAGAGGAGAGTGGAGGAGAGTGGAGGAGAGTGGAGGAGAGTGGAGACTAGAGGAGACATGAGCATTTCCTGCAGGCTGCTGTACTTCCTGGTTCAGCTCCAGATCAGGGACGTCACTTGTGCATGAGTCGTGTTTACATGATGCTCATTTAGCTCGGACATTAGCACTGAATATTACTGTGTCTATTTGTGTAAACGGTCCCTCCTCAAATAAACAAACAAAACAAAAAACTAAATAAACAGAGGAGATTAGTAGGACACAGACAGGAAGTGTCTCCCACAAACAGGAAGCTCCTCTCCAAACATCCTCCAGAGTCCTGCTGCTCCGAGCTGTGGGTGAGTGTCAATCATCTCACTCAGCCAAGTCAGAGAAGACGAGTCTTTTTTCTCCCTGCATATGGACCAATTACAACTTAAAAAAAAAAACCCAAAAAGCTGATTAATATATTTTGTTCTTATTGAAACCACTGGATTTTGATTTGATAAAATTGCATGAATTGAGCCTGAAGGTCCAACATCACACAACTGACACCTGTGGAATTTAAACCAGAATAATGCTGTACCTCCTCAAAAACACACCTGGAGTTATGTTCTGGGTCATTCATGGTTGAGTAACACTTGAATATTATTCTGTCTGCATCTCTAAAGCTCAAAATGTCCTGTTTCACCTTATCATGTCATGTAGTGGTAGTTTAAGTTAACTCAGACCTGGGCGCTGTCAGCTCCAGGGCCACATACGCCTCTTTACTCGACTCTGACCAGCTCATTTTGACAAAATAAACATATTTTATTATTTTATATTATATTATTTTATATTATATTATTTTATATTTTATAATTTTACTCATCACAAGGTGGAAGTGTGGAGTGTTTTCAGTTTGAGAGAAGAACTCAGCCTAAATGTGCAGAGTTAGTGTGTTAACACCGACAGCGTCCGGTGAACTGAGATCCTGGCTGTTTTTGGTGCTGATGAAAGTATTCCAGCAAGTTGTCTGGGGACAGTATAATAAAGCGTTTTTCTTCTCAAAACAATCTGTGTTCAAAAGAGTGATACATTTGCATCACAAAACCATCGTTGCCTAAAAAGTCAGACCTCATTATCGCTTGGCACTATTTTCTTTCCGTTCGTATCACTGTGCACTGCCGTCAGGTGACAGCCGCGCCTGGTTCACTTTGTTTACTGCTCAGAATGTTAGCGACAACATGTCTGATTACGACACCGACAATAAAGACTTTGCCTTTACCACAAAGCCAAGGGGAGATCTTTATGAACCCAAATATACTGATGCTGAATTTCACCAGATGGAGTTAGAACGAGCAGAGAGAGAAGAGAGACAGAGAAGTGGTACAAGTTGAAGCTGGAGCCGTGAGAGACCGAGTGAGCCACAATCACCATCACGTCATTTATAAACTCATATACAGCGAACATAGAGCCTCCACTGTGACTGAAGCATGGACGACTAATAGAAACATGAATCATCCACACGTCCACGTAGCTGCTGCCAATAGTGTACGAGACATTTACAATAGTAATAACAGTCGACTTATAAAGTTATGTTTTGTAGAAGCTTCACTGGTGATATGACACTGAGTGATTTACTGCACACAGAGTTACAGCTGATTCTTCATCACCTGTCCACTTGTAAACACAGCGGCACTTCTTCGTTCTTACCTGGTTTGGTTTCCACATTGAAGCCAAAGGCAAGAAGCCAAAGTTTCCTCAGCGCAAAGTCTGTGACAGGAAAACAGTGAAATGTGTGTGGAGATTCAGACAGATTTTTGTTGTTACAGCCTGGATAATCAAGAGTTCGCACCATTTTTTAGATATATTCTTATGTATCTTATACAAGTTTATATAATGCGGTCTGAGCATGTAAACACTGACAAACAACTGAACAAAGTGATGGATCCGTGCGCGGCTGTCACCTGACGGCAGTGCGCAGTGATACGAACGGAAAGAAAATAGTGCCAAGCGATAATGAGGTCTGACTTTTTAGGCAACGATGGTTTTGTGATGCAAATGTATCACTCTTTTAAATACATGTTTTGAGAAGAAAAACACTTTATTATACAGTCCCCAGCACAACTTGCCGGACTACTTTTGTCAGCACCGAAAACAGCCAGTATCTCGGTTCACCGGATGCTGTCGGGGGTAAGTCAGTGTGGATGCACGACACTGCTCACGGGGATGACATACAGATTTATGTCAAAAATCCCGAACTATCTCTTTAAACATGTGAATGAAACAAACACAACTGGAGGTGTGTGACGAGGAGACAACACTAGAACAGAGGTG